GGGATTTTCAGGTGTGGAAGCAGCTAAGGACTTCAACAGTGTTGGACTGCGAAGCTGCTGAAACAAAATCAAATGTAGATAAGGAAATGATCATCAGAAACACAAAAAAGCAAAAAGACCTACAAGCCATGTGAGAAATGGAGAAACAATGTTCCAAGAGAGAAAGAGAGAAACAAAGCACGAGTGCGAAACAGAGAGAACAGTCTGTGTGCACAATGGACAAATTATTAGGTAGCAAAATGACCAAAAAGCCATTCCTGCGAAATGGAGGGAGAAACATTTGAAGAGCAAAATTGGAAGAAAAAAAATATTATGAGAGGGGAGGGGAGTCACCGTAGCATTGGTGAGAGGGGTGCCTTCTTCCAATTAACTATTTTGATATCACTTTTGTTTACTTAATTCAATTGTTTCATTTTCAATTTTCCACTGGCACAAAACAACCAAATAAATAAATCAGATTATTAATTAAAAAGAGAATATGAAAATAATTAATTTTTTATTTAAAAAAATCAAATATTTTTTTTGATATTAATTTCTTGATATCTATAACCACATAATTACATAACCACATTGAGTCTTGAGTAAATTTAAAATCGAGTCACGTCAGACCTTATTTAAAGAAGTTTTCCTAACACTTATTTCTCTATTTATAAAACTTAAATTCAAGATCATATTTAAGAAAAACCGAATTTCTTCCATTCAAATCAATAAATTATTGTGAAAAAAAAAAAGAATATTAACTTATGGGTAAGATCCTCTTTTTTTGAGATAAAGGAATCCATGGATAAGATCCTCTTAGTAAATAGAGAGGAGAATTGCCCACAAATTAGGACCAAAACTGAAGAACTCCGAAGACAATGGTGTGGAGGTGGGCTGCCAAGCAACAGCGAGCTTTTCGATGTTGACGGTTCTCTTGAGGCTCGCGACAGCAACCACGGCAGCACCGGTGATCATAGCAATTCCAAATCTCAAGTACGCATGTTGGTCGATGAGTTTATTTGAGCATCTCTTCCGTTCTAATTTCTTTCATTCTTTTGAAAATTGATTATTCCATTAAGGATTTATTTTTAGTTGATTCCTTTATCTCTTGCCTTGAGATTAGCACTGGAGAAAGCAATTTTGGTTTTAGGGGCAAATTATACTCTCTTTTTTGAACTGATAGTCTAATACAAGCGGCTAAGCTTTTAATAAGAGGTTTTTCATTGCAATTTTGGATAGGAAACAAAGGGAAACAATATAATGGCAATGGCACCTATAATATGGCTACATTCTTTAATGAAATTGCTTGGGTAAATGATCTACTACAAAATAGTAGCAAGAGTTGAAGCACGTCTCAATGTGATAGAACCTTGCTCGCCTCCAATAAGGATTTATGTAGAGAACTACAGCAATAGTTACCAACACCATTATGTATGACACAGTAAAACTCACACAGAATACCTCTATATTGATGAGACCATCTTATTCTCTACATTGGATTGGACCTTCTAACATCAATGGTGGTGGACTTAGCACTGTGCAACTTTTTATTGGTTCCCCACAAAGCAAAGGATTACCTTGATAACAACTTTCTTCAAATGTTGCAAATTGATTAACCCTTGTCGATGTTTTATCTGATAAGTTGTCGTATACCACACTAAAAGTAGATGAGAAATATAACTCAACAAGCTGTGGGGGAATTTCCCCACTCAAATTGTTATAAGAAAGATCCAAGCTCTCGATTAGCACAAGTTTAGAAAATGTAGATGGAATTCACCAATCAACGTATTATATATGAGATATATTTAGTGCTCGAATCTTGCTAGGATGTCCTATTTCAAAAGGAATTATACCAGTCAACTTGTTGCAAGAGAGATCTATTCCAGCCATGTAGATGACAATTTTCCTCTTGTAAGGATATGCCATATTCTTCATTGTGAAATGCACTAGTTCATCAATATAAATAGGATCCCCAGAAGGAGGAGCAGGTGGCAGAACTGGTGGCGGAACCGGTGGTAAAATAGCTAGATCGGAAGAAAGAGCAACATCATCCACGACGTATGCCTCATCAAAAGTGGTAATATTTAGGCGAGAAGGTATCTAGCCGAAGAGATGGTTATGAGATAGATCAATCAAGCTCAATTTTTGCTACTTGCATAGCTGAATTGGGATTTTACCTTCAAGATTATTGTTCATCAAGGTAAGATAACTCAACTCACCAAGCATATTTATGCAATTCGGGATGTTACCACTTAGTTGGTTGTCATTAAGATCTAGCATTATTAGATAAGGGTGTTCACAAAACTGTGTTGTCAGTGATCCTTCTAGCCTGTTTTTGGATAAATAAACATGACTTATCTAGTTTGGGCTGAAACAAGTTGGTAGACTTCCTGAAATATTGTTATTTGAAAGGTCTAGAAGACCAAGATTTTGAAGCTGGCAAAAGCCGATAAGAATTGGACCTTCTAAACCATTATTGGGCATGATAATCTCACTCAACGATAACATATTACCCATCCACCTTGGGATCCTTCCAAAGAAATTGTTATTGCTGAAATCTATGAAATGCAAATTGGAGGAATTAGATAAGCTTGTTGGGACACTTCCAGAAAAGTGATTGCCAACCAAATGTAATTCCTCTAGCTAGAATAAGCATTTTCAGAGAAAATATTTGGCCTTGCAAATTGTTGTTTGGTAGAGTAAAGAAACTCAATGATAAGCAATCGATGCTCAACTTCTCATGTATTCCACCAGATAAGTTATTGTGAGATAAGTTCAAAGACTCCAGAAACTTCATATCACCAATTCATGGCGGAATTCTACCGATGAGAGAATTTCCTAAAATGTTAAGGTACACTAAACTAGGCAACGAGGCTCCGATCTCCATCAGAATATGGCCATCAAACAAATTTTTGGAGATGTCTAGAAGGTGCAAACTCATAAGAGAATGAACTAGCAACCCGCTAGGTCTAGAAAGGGAAATGTTAAACAATCAAACATGTGTTCAACTTTATATTGTTTTCTAACAACCAAATGGAAAACTCTCCAGTTAGGTTAAGGTGCTAGAGGTCTAAATATTTGAGGTCATGTTGAGAGTAGAGGAAGTTTGGAATTCCTCCACAGTCTCCATAACCAGACAAATTTAAGGTATTTAGATGGAAGGTTGGTTCTAAAGATTCAATGTTAGTATCTGCATAAAATTTGTTGTTTTCTGCAATAATAATCTTGAGTTTTGAATGGTTGAAGAATGGTCGAAAGGAGACTGGACCTTGGAAATGATTGTTTGAAAGTGACAGGCAATGGAGGGACATCAATTTGTTAAGGGGTTATAAAGCTATATCACCAGAAAAAAAAAAAAAAGTTTAGATTGAGGTTTAAACTCTCAAGAGAAGTTAAATTTGCAAGACTTGAAGGCAAGGCTTCCCCTAAAAAATTGTTTCTGATAACCCAATTTTGAAGACTTATCAATTCGCAGAGCCCTGTAAACATATACGACGCTTACAAAGTTAGTCATATAGCACCAAAGAAAATACAATGCGTAAAAAATGGTAAAATTTTAAGGAGCCATAATTAACCTTTTCTCATTAAGGAGCCATTGAGTCCACATCCCCGTAGTGATAAAACCTTTAGATAAGTCAATGCTCCAATGCCAAGAAGGAAGTTGGTTGAGAGAATAGAATAATCCAGAAACGACTCTTCCACATTAGACAAGTTATGAAAACCTAATAAAAAAAATAATGAATTATCTTCACAGAATCTTTGGTCATAATTAATAAATTTAGAGGAAGAATATTATATTTATAAAATTTTTCTATGCAGATAAAAAAAAAAAAAAGGAAAAAAACTACAGTAAAGATGAAAAAATTACCAAAAAAATGCTTAGCCCAATAAAATATAATAAGATAACACATTTTTCTGAAGGAAAATTATAATTACAATAAAATGGGTGGGGGATCAACATCACGGTGAACAGGAACTGCTGGAATACTTTCCAACTCATTGGGAAGGGCACCAAAGGATCAAATATCAGAGAAGGCATGGATTGTATTTGGAAAACTACTATGTGGTCTGTGTGGATTGCTAGAAATTAAAAAATCTTCCTCAACAAAGAGGATAAAGAGATAAATCCAGGGAAATTATTCGAGCTCATCTAAATGAGATCTTTCTTATGGATTAAAGCAATAAAGAACAAGTATGCCTTCAATTTGACGAATTGATTAATCAATCCTGTTGATTGTTTGAAAAGTATAGTGGGTTCATGAAAGTTACATTAAACAAGTATTTTAACTATAGTGTTGTCCTTGATATAATGGGTTATTTAAGCTATAGTCAATGCATGCTCAATGATTTTGCGTGTACCAATCGGTTTGACAAGTGGGTAGTTTTTGAGGATCAAAACTGTGATATATGAAGAAATTGCAAAAGATGGCAGAAATTCGACACGGGTAGAGTGTCGACAAAGAATTTAGGTGTCGACACCATATGATAAGCATCCAAACTCCAACATGGATGTGATGCGACAAATAATTTAGGTGTCGACACCATATGGTAAGTATTCAGAACTCCGACATGGACGTAGTGTTGATACTTAATTCAGGAGTTGACACCAAATAAAAAGGCTATTCAACTCATGTATTATGAAACCTTTTAAATTCTGATGTTTATGGGTTTGAGATATCCCTTGTACTTTGTTTATTAATAAATATTATACTTGACTGTTCAAAAATAATAATAATAATTACAATAAAAGGGAGATAAAGCAAGCTTACTTCCTATGATTTGGTTCACGTTTAGTCCACTATATTCTAGTATTAGAGTTTTTAAAGCTGGAAGACCAACCAAATATGATA